CCATTGGTGTTTAGGAGGTATGTAATTTGGAGTATGCTGGATTGAGTGGTAGGGGAGGGGGAAGGGAAGGAGTATGTAGATCCCGTCACACACACCTGGGCACTCACGTGCGCGGGGACTAAAGGGAAGGGGGGAGGGAAGTGAAAGGTGAGGTTGGGATAAGCTCATCTGACATCGACATCCTGGCGGCGATCTTGGCTTGCAGGGGGGTGGCGTTACCAATCCCCCACTTATATGTATACCCCTTACATACCCCCCCACGCGGCTGCAGGTAACCCAAAGGGAGGGAAGACGAAATGGCCTCCTACTGAAAACAAACGACAGAGCACCGGCCAGCGGGAGAGACGGAGCAAAAGAGGATAAGAAGCAAGGACAGGAAGAAAACGACACAGCCCGTGTAAACCAAAGCGGGCGAGTAGCAAAGTAAAGGAGACTATGGAAGAGCAAGCGAGATAGTGAGAGTAAAGAACCCGATATCACTCAGAAAGAGAGTAGCATGCATCTCATTACACTCTGAAATTGAAGAGAGTATGACTAGAGCAACATCCAGGACGCCAGGGTCGGCAAGAAACGCGAATAAACCTGCAGGGAAGAGAAGACAGAAGAGAGAGAGCAAAACAGAACAAGAATAAAACTAAGGTGATCCAATCCCGTAAGTAAATGTCGTCTGCTCAAATTAATCTGCCGGGCAAGTGACCGAAGGTGTATGTTGCGAGGAAACACGGATTTATTCCCGTCAGCCAATTAGAGTACTGTCAGTGATCGTTTACAGATTCATTGACACCAGTCACCAGTTCTACGCATGGAATCACGAGCACGCAAAACTCTGCGCACAATGTGATCGGAGAATCATATTTTCACAAGGGAGTAACAAAAAAATAAATACAATCCCACCACTTCATCCATCCGTTTTCCTTTTAGCGTTTCCCAAATGAATTTATGTGCATCCTCCTACCCTACCACCACTCATCTTCCCATAATCGTACATGACATCCCTTTTTTTAAAAAAAAGTCGTTACATCACATTTACTCAACGATACGAGTGACAAGACCGGTAGCAACGGTGCGACCACCCTCACGAAGGTTGAAGCGCTGTCCCTGCTCGACAGCCATGGGGTGCAGGATCTCAGCCTCCATCTCAGTGTTGTCACCGGGCATGACAATCTTGGAAGAAGCATCCTCGGTTCCCTCAGGGAAGTTAAGGGTGCAAGAGACATCGGAGGTTCTCAAGAACATCTGGGGGCGGTAGTTGCCGTGGAATCCAGTGTGGCGTCCACCCTCCTCCTTGGTGAGAACGTAGGCAGAAACCAAGAACTTGGTGTGGGCGCGGGTAGTTCCGGGACGGACCATGACCATTCCGCGGCGAACCTGCTCGCGCTTGACACCACGGAGGAGAATACCACAGTTGTCACCAGCCTGGGCGGATTCGAGCTCCTTCTTGAAGGTCTCGATACCGGTAACAATAGTCTTGATGGGGTCCTTGTTGAAGCCGACGAGCTCGATTTCATCACCCTTCTTGAGTTGACCACGCTCAACACGCCCAGTAGCGACAGTACCACGTCCGGCAATGGAAAAGACATCTTTCCGATCATGTCAACATCGCCCGACGATGGCAGATACGGGGTATTGAGCACATACCTTCAACGGGCATCAAGAAAGGCTTCTCGAGATCACGCTTAGGAGTTGGGATCCATTCGTCAACAGCAGCAAGGAGTTCGTCGAGCTTCTGGGAACCAATCTCGGGGCGGCGGTCCTCAAGAGCACATAGAGCAGATCCCATGACAATAGGAGTGTTGTCTCCGTCGAAACCGTAGTGGGTCAGGAGATCACGCATTTCCATTTCGACAAGTTCCAACATTTCCGGGTCATCGATAGCGTCAATCTTGTTGATGAAGACGACAATACGGTCGACACCAACCTGGCGGGCAAGCAGCAAATGTTCACGGGTTTGAGGCCTGCAATTGATTAACACTCCGCACTGAAGGTAGCCGCAGGCGACGACGCAACGTACATTTGACCATCGGAAGCAGCAACAACAATGATAGCACCATCCATAGACGCAGCACCAGTAATCATGTTCTTGATGTAATCGGCGTGACCAGGACAGTCGACGTGGGAGTAATGACGGTTGGCAGTTTCGTATTCAATGTGAGCGGTCGAGATGGTGATACCACGAGCCTTCTCTTCGGGGGCCTTATCGATGGAAGCATAGTCGACGAAATTGGCGAATCCCTTGGAGGCCTGGTTCTTGGTAATGGCGGCAGTCAAAGTAGTCTATGATGCTGTAAGTATACAATGTTCGAATCGGAGGAGGTGGCGGGGTGATGGACCTTTCCGTGATCGACGTGACCGATGGTACCTGGGACCAATTAGACAACTGCTACCGCTTCCGCATCAATTGAGAAGATATGGAGCATACCGATGTTCACATGGGGCTTTGTCCGTTCGAAGGTGGCCATCGACCGAATGGGCGAGAACCGGGCATTAGCAGCCCACGCAGCCTTGCAGCTGAGCGCAGGCGCTTCCGTTGAGATGAAAGATTGTGGTAGCCGGATGATACTCCGCGCCAGAGGGGCGAAGGTAGCTCTCCAGGACGCCATGGTTCGAGGAGATGTGGTGGATATCAAGGTGAGGATGCGGAGGAGAGGAGAAGTTTTTGAACAAGCATCCGGCGCTCCAAAAGATGTTCGGGCTTGGCGTCGGTAGCTTGGGTTAAAAAAATTCCCTCCGGCGTAAACGTCATCCCAGGGCGCTTAGATTCTAGGCGAACCGATTGGCTATAAACGCGCTTAACATTCACCTCACAACTTCGAATTAACCATCAACCCAAAGCATCGCCGAATCAAGGGGTATAAAGATAATAAGTGATTTAACTACTCCAAGTTACCGCGATTACTCTAATGACAATACTAGTGCTGTGTAGTTTGCATACAGACAATTAATCAACATCGGAGGAGATGCAGCGGCTGGAGCAACCAGCTACTTTGGGAGCGAGGGGGCCGGTATAACTTGATTCGCAAAGACCAAATCATACTCCTCAGCCCAACCGCTTACGCGGTCCATCTTTTCCTCAAAGAGAACTGTGAATCACACTGATCAGGATGAAAGATATTTTCCTGCATAGGCTCTTGATAATTTATAAATTCTGCCTTTTTTAAAAAAAAACTCCTCGTATAAACATCAAACACTTAGCCCTTCAAACTCGGAATGTCTGTCCGAACTCATGCACCTGATACATCCGGCAGCGGTAGTATTACATCCGAAAATACCAAATCATATTTCGTTTTCCATGCCATGATATAGACGTAAGAGTGTTCGGAGGTTCGGAGGAAATCGTGGAGGTGATCTGGCCAGAACAACTCTCCGAAATTCCCTTTCAAAAGTGGGTTGTAAACAAAGATATTGTGTAGGTAGTACCCCTGGTTAATGTCAAGGACTATATTTCTCAAATCCTATCCTACCATCAGTAACTAAGTATGGAACAATAACAAGTAGAAAGCTTACCTCTGCGCTCAGGATGAATTCACGTGGGATAACTTGAGGGGTGCTCCCGCATGCGGAACACTGTTCCAGCCGCGGATCCTCGTGAAAAGGCTTATTATGGCATTTTGCTTCGATGATCGTGAACATTTTATTGTTCAGTATGGTGCTTATGTAGAGTTGTGGTTATTGGACAATGAATCTCTGCTGGCAGACTTCATAGTAGAAGGACGGATATAAGTAGCACAAGGAACAAAGGGAATTCGAAAGTTCGATGGACTGCTATCAAACCCTCTGTGTGATTCTATTAACTCCTTCGCCAATCTACCAAACAATTCCACCAAGAAGTGTGTCGAACATTGTAGAATTTTGACAAAGTACATACAGCGGGAAACGAGGGGCGCTCTGGAGTTTGGGCACGAGAAAATATCCTTCGATGATACAGCGCTCTTCTTTAACGTACTAGTATCGGTCGTACCATTCTAGATGGCTTGGGGATCGATCTATTAACATAGTGGAGCGCGCTAAAGAGAAAAGGGGAAAAAAAAAAGTAACGGGATGATTTCACCCAGGCTCGATCTGGGGACCTTTTGTGTCCAGTTTTGTAAACTGTTAGACAAATGTGATAACCAACTACACCATGAAACCATTTTCTTACAGAGCTTGGTTACAATTACGTATTAGGCTCGTAGAGCTAGAGAACCCCACCCCGACGTAAAGCCAGAAGATATTATATATAACAGGACTCTCTAA